AGAATTAAAATATTTGTATTATTTTGATACATACAATTTTTAAGACGTATCGCATTAGCAATTATAAATTATACTTAATCAGTAAAAAGTAAATTTTCTTCGAATTTCCATTATTTTTATTGACTGCAGTCTGAAGTCACCGATACGTTTTTTCGTAGAAATACACTGAAACGAGCACGATTATCTCTGTTATCACTCATCGGACTGCACTGAGCATTTATGACACGAACAAATGGGCAGTTTAAATATTAAATATACACTGCAAAGAAATCTCGGAGATTTAAATAAGTAATTTATATTTATTAATTATTTAACGTGTATAAACAAACACGAAAATAGTAATAATAATTTAATAAAGAAATGTTTATTTTCAGACGTAACAAAGTAAACGAACACATGTAAAATATTTTAAAACAAGTAAAAACAAGTGGCTTACAACCAGCTTTAGTTTATGCGTTAGTTAATACAATATTTTAAGTAAATCGTTTTTATTTATAAGGAGCGTCCGTATTTGATTCACTGATTATGTATAGTTATGTATAGGTAAATTTACGATTAAAAACATAACAAATCGAGTGATCATCGCCATGTGTACCTGTTAGGTATTTATTAGTCGCAATAACCAGTTACAAAAATGTCACAAATGCTTTCATACGGTGTTTACACATAATAATAGTACATAATACATATGCTACTGTTGATAACCGATGTACATAATATATGTATATATATATATATAGTATATAGTTACCGCATTAAGTTGCATTTTAATGATTGTATACACACAAATAAAAACTAGAGACAAATGATTATAAAACAAGAAATATAACTAAGTTTTTGTTAATTATTCAGATGGTCCTCTCTAAAAGAAAAAAGAAAATTCAGTACAGGCTACTAGCGGTGGACATGACAATGATAATATCATATCTTATAGTATTTTAAGACTAGTTTTATACGGATGATGTGTTTAGCGGACCTTGTATTTTTATAGGTACATACCCAAAATATTACCTACAATGGTGTTGTACTGTAGTCGTTATTGTCGAAAAGTCGGCAGACGTCGTCGATAAACTGATTTCTATAATAATTATTCACCCGCGATAATGCGGTATATTTGATTCGACATTATTCAAGTCGTTACACATTACATAATATTAATCATTTTTCTTTTTATATTACGTGTTCACATAATATGTTTAACTGTCCGATCGTAAATCACACAAAAATGACTTACTACTACGTTATAAGTGTTTAATTTAATTAACAACACTCAGGTATTATCCATAGGACGTCAATTATTATTAAACGCGCACATAATATACGACCATTATATCGTTATTATATCATGCGTACGTATATTATATGGTTTTCCGACTTTTCTGGGAACCTTTCCAGCGGACGGCGCGTTGTGAGATTACGACGATGAATAATACGTAATTACGGCGTGCGCCTATTTAACATACACACAATTATGCACGCGTGCACAACCACATGAAAATTACTTTTCACCCGACTTTCGAACAATATTATCTTCATTTATGATTTTGCGAGAACTGCTAACATTTTATTGCGCACGTACGATACGATATAATTTATTGGACAAATAAATAATGAGCCGACATAAACATTATTATGTACGATAACGTCCTCGTAATTATACCTACGTAGGTACCTCGGCCGATTTTACACGTCGGTTTGTCGTTTTACACACGTAAAACAGAAACATCACGTTTCGCCCCGGACACGAAAGCCACTGCCGTTCCTATACACTGCAGCGAGTTGTATTACACCGGTCGATTTCGGATTTCATAACCATTACCGAGTACGCGTTACGACGGTGTTTAGACTTTTATTGTAAACAAATGGCTCGTATAGACTGCTACCTACGCCAACAATTGACTTCGGCACACGTGTCGTAACCGCAACGTTTGTGCTACCGTTCGCATTACAAAATGGACACGGCACCGACGACGTAATCTATGTTAATAAAAAACAATGTGCTTGTGTGTGTAGTATGTGTGTTTGTTTGTGTGTGTGTGTGTGTGGGTGTAGAGGTGATCCCGCAACCAAGTCTGTCTCACTAATGGTTTTAATGGTTTTACGTGCGAATCCGATACATCCCATCGTAATCCTATACCAAACGCGAAGTGCACCCCAGAGCCAATATTTTTCTTGAAAATGTTTTCATTTTTAAACAAGCGTTTAGGAAAGGACTGGAACGTTATTAAACTCACCGATTTACAGGTATGAGTTGATTTTGAGTTGGATTTATAACGTATAAATTCCACCGATACATTTTTACCTGAAAATGTAAAACTCCTGATACGTATTTTTCGTCATTTAAGCAAACAATATTACCAGTATACAATCTTCAAATATTATCTAAACATTATCAAACAATTTAAACTTAATTTTAAAACCAAATTTTTAAAACTAAATTTTCTTTGATTAATTATTTTTATTCATTTATTTTACTGTGTATAAACATCGAGACTATTGATCACTTAATTATTATTATCATTTATTTTAATATTGTGTAAAAATATAAGTATCTAAATATAATATATATAATAATAAATTTTATTCAATTTTATGATTTTTAAATTATTATTAATTATTATTAATAATTATATATTTTCAATTTTCTATTATTGATATTTGATTTTATGATTTTTAATTATTGTTAATTATTATTAATAATTATATACTTAATAAAATATAATGATAATCACACATTATGTAAACTTATTAATCAGATTGACTTGTTTACAATTTAAAACATACTCAGTGGAGTTTACATTTTCAGGTAAAAATATACTTGGAGTTTACATTTTTCAGTAAAAACGTACCGGTGGAGTTCATGAAAAAGTTAAAAGGTCGTCGGTAGTTTACATGCGCCCAGCCTGTTTGGTTGGCTCGGAATAACGATGCGCAGGACCGCCCATTGTTCACTAAATAAAATTGTTGTTTCGATCATTATGGTATAATAATGCTGGACTTGTGTACACACTCGCGTAAAATCTGAACTCCTGGTATGTATATAATAACATTTAACAGTTTGGACGGCGATCCGTTGGCGTTATAATTTTCTATGATCACGCTATACGCAGGATTGCTTATACATCCTCACCATTTGTGAACGAGACAGCTGAAAAATCAATTGAAACTTCGTTTTCATTTAATGGTTCTTACAGATAATTGTTGTGCGTCATTTATTTGTAAATTTCCTGCGGTAATGTAAACTAAAAAGTAAAGTTGAACAAACAAATACAAATCTAAACATTTGCTTCGACTATATACCTAAATACTCATGATCCCACGTCTTGGTATTTTTATTATATTCTTCCAAACAATATTATTTTTCTTTGATTAAAAATACTTATTTATTATTATTTACGCCGTTCCCACTCGGGTAATGGTCATTCGAAATAAGTACAAGATGTCTTTTGCATCGAGATCAAGTGGTATATAAAATACTATTACACAGCCTTACCTCCATTTTCAGCTAATAATAATAGTCACTATTTTGATGTACGACAAACGAATAATCGAACGCTTATCTTTATTTTGACATTCTTTAAGGTTGTAAATTGCGTTTACATTAAAATAGGTATTACAGTACTCAATCATTATATTTAGACTTTGATGAGGTTAAATAAGTTTCAGTCACTGAACTTTGATTAAAACACAATGTCAGTATATATTAGCTATTTTAAAACGGGCATCGGTACTCTGCATCCATTACTTCCGTCAAGATTATTTTATCTTACGTAAACATAATGCATGTATGTAACAAAGAAACTAAATATCACTGATATTATAGGAACGGCGGGATCACTTGTGATGAACTTATGTGCCTGACGAGGGAAGAATTATTATAAAAATTATTTATTTGATATTCTTCAGATAACGTATCTAAGATTTGATACCTTCTCCCTTGATAAAACAAAAACAAAGTAGCTCATCGTTGGTGATCTCTGGGAGATATGGATCAGCGGTATGGAAAAAAACGCAGACGTCGAGTCAGTAGCCTATCACGTATACTCATATCAGTTACAGCATTGTTTAGTCAATTTGTTTACAGCAACACAATCGATACACCAAACAATAACACTATATATATAACTGTATATTATATATATATATAATAAATAATATATTAATAATATAATATGTGTAGAAATAATGATGATATACTATATATGCCGCGCGCATCTTTAGCCGACAATTGTCGATTAAAATAATACAAATGAACGCTGGAAAATATAAATATATATATATAGAGAGAATGAGAAGCAAAGAAACACCTAAAACATGTTTATCACGTAATGCACGACAAATATATATATTAGTAATGTTTCGTCTACGGTGCGCGTCAAGTCCAGAGGCGCGTTTCCGGCCGTCCGGCCGATTCGTCGTTCGGTCGCGGCCGCCGGCGCGCCGGTCGCCGCGCATCGTCGTCCGAGCCGGACGTCCGGTCGCGCGAGTGCCAGCAAAGTCTCGCCGACCGTTTATCCGCCTGCGCGCGCCGCCGGCGCCGAGCGCGACCGGTCCGGCTGTGGCGGCGACCGCGCGCCGACGTACGGACGAGCGACGGAAACCGAATGACGGCGGCCGAGGGCGACGGCGGCCGCGGTCACGGACAGGATCCATCGGCGACCCTGGACCGGCGGCAAGTCGCGGCACGGCCAGCGCTGGAAGACGGCGGCCCGTCCAGGTGGTCGTCCGCGCGGTCTGTCTCTCGTCGTCCGATCAGGCGACCTGTACGACGGACTCGCGACGGTGACCATCTGCGGTCGCGGCGCGGCGTCGTCGTCGTCGGGTGCGGCGACTGTTGTTGTTGTCGCTGCTGCTGCTGCTTGGTTGCTGCTGTTGCTGCTTGCTGCTGCTGCAGGCCAGAAAGACGGCGCGCGGCGGGAAGAAACGCCGAGAAGAACGGCGGCCACGCAGCAGTTCGGTCGGACGCGCTACCGACGGACCGCGGCCGCGGCGATAAACACGGACGCCGGCTCCGATGCACTCTTTGTTCAGGTCACCGGCCACGGAGTTGTTGTTGTCCGCGTCCAGGCGCAGGTGGTGTTTGACGTCCGCCCACAGCGGCGGAAGCGAAAGCGGCGGCGTGCGGCCCCGGTCCAGCGACACTCTGCAACCGGCCGCCGCCGCCGACTGCTGCTGTTGTTGATGCTGAAAATGCAGGCCCGCGGACTGCCGGTGTTGTTGTTGCTGGTGCGCGTGTTGTTGGTGTTGCTGCTGGTGCGGGTGTTGCTGTTGGTGCTGCTGCTGGTGGTGGTGCTGCTGCTGCTGTTCCTGGAGCAGGCAATGGATCTTGAACCAGTTGGACCGCCGGCCGTACCGGGACCCGCTCTTGGACATGCCCACCACCAGACATTTGCGCAGCCGGCAGGCCTTGCACGACGTCCTGTTCTTCTTGTTGATCACGCACTCGCCGTTGTTCTTGCACTCCGATATCGAGCTCAGATTGTTGTAGGTCCGGCCGAAAAATGACTGAAACATATATGTTTTTCGATTATTTTTGTGTCCGTCGTCACCAGCTGTTTGGAATACTAAAAGTGCATATACGATTGTATCTATCGCATTATATCTCAAGGTAGGAAAGTGAACTTATTTGGTGTTTAACAGGTCTACAGTGAAAAGTATTCTCAGTATGTAATATATAGGTATGTTACTTAATAACGAACATAGAACGAGAAACAGGAAGTTTCACACGTAATCAGATCGTAAATTTATAACAGCCGCATTTCCTATACACGGTATAGTTATCAAAATATTTTTACTTTTCCTGAGACATATGAAATTTTTTGATTTTTTTTTTCAATAAATGTCATTAAAACAATTGCACTCGATCAAAAAGCTTAGATTAGAAAAAAATTTGAACATAATTTTTTTTATGGATATTCAAAGTTAAAATTTAAATGAAATTGTTATTATTTTAACGAAGCATAATATAACAATTTTAATCATTTTGCTGTATTTCAAACATATTGTTAAATCGTGAGGACTCAAAACTTTTACGTATACTATTATATTTTTCATACATAATGACAATTTCAAAATGTTAAGATTAATTTTACGGTATTATTCATACCGTGCTACGGAAGCAGTATCGCCTGAAAAGTAAATAACAATAATAATAAATCAAATTATAATAAATGCGATGTTTTCCGAAAAAAATAATTCGATTTGCCTTATTACTAATGTAAAATAATTTACTGAAATAGCAACATAAATATGTTCTAAAATACACTCAGTAATTTATTATTTAAAGACCGACAAACCATAGTCGCTCAAAATTGTTTTTAATATGCAAATATTTATCATTAAATTCAAGTTGTTTATACATACACTACAATGACTTAGCACATCAATTACCTACTTTCCACTCGTTTTTAATTTGTTCTAGTAAAAATTTAAATATTTTTGATTTTGGTTAAAAAAAAATACACAACTTGTAATGCACTCTTGTTTTTAAGAATTCAAATGGATAATTTTTTTCTTTGGTAAGCCCACATTCAATAAAACCAATATAATATTATTCTCTCTAACACGGTTGACAAAATGAATAGTGATATTTTATTTCAACCCCAAAACGACTTATAATAATTTACTTCGAGTAATTGAAACAATATATTATAAAACATTAAGTGTTTCTGACATTTTTTTTTCGAATAAATAACGAAATTGAACAAATCACAATTATTATTTCATTATTTATTATCAGATGAATTCACTATAAATCTATTAGATTAAATTATATCTCGCGCGTCTATAGTCTCCTGTGATTTATGTGTGACTATAATATTGTTAATATAAATAGTAATACAAAGTAGATATACCTATAAGAAATATTGAACAACATTGTATAATATATTGTATACTGTATACCTATATTACATTGTCAGCACTCGGCACGCTTCTAACTTTTAAATTACTATAAAATATAATCTGGTATGGTCTCGATGATGACGGTGACGACGAAAACGAATGACGATGACGATTGAACCGTTCCCACCGACAGCTACATTACCTTCTTAAACATGCGTGCATTGTATACAAACAGTTATTGCACGTTTAACGTCGCAGTTTATCTTGAAATGATATAAATTATAAATCCTTTTCCGACCATCATCATAGGAAATTATCATTTTTATAGAGAAACGATGACCGATCCGAACAATCATTAATCATATTCCTAACTATTTTCAACGTGCCGCGATCATGGCGGAGGTCTACCATGTATATATATATATATATATATATTTATTAGGTATATAGAATAAAAACGAATCTTCGCCGTAACGAGTTAACAAAAATTGACAGTCTATTAGACCTATGTAAATTCACGTAGTCGAAAATCACAATTTATATAAGACCTATGCGAGTCGCTGCGTATCTAATATTGCACCAATGTCTGTTTCTCCGAGTCAATCGCTTATAGAAAAAATAAAATATAGGTTTCCGTTCGGACGCAGTAATTGGAGACGAGCGTATTATTATATTGAGATTCCTGGAAGCACTTATTTATGTATTGTATCGGTGCGGCCTGCAATATGACTTTGAAATACTCCGAGAGGATATAAAACACAGGTATAACTACTACGTTTTTTTTCCTCCCAAATTAACCGGTGGGTAGATGGAGGGCGTGTGAAATAGGAATTATTACATAACCACAATTGCAATGTGGTATGATAATCGTCATTTTTGAAGATGTATATTGTATTTAAATATAAATGTCGATTTATCCGGCAATAACTAAATACCTACTATCGAGGTGTATTGGTGTATATAGGTATAATATTATATTGTATAAGTACCTATAATCGCACCAACACACCGGATAAAAAAGTTTTCAATGTTGTTAGAAATGGAGTGATGCAATCCGCATTAGGAGAGTTCAGTCGACTGCAGTATTATCAAAATTATTATTATTATTATTATTATTGTTATTATTATTATCAATACAACGAACGAAATAATACTGCGTGACAAGCCAGCTAAATGTGTTTATTGAAATCCTCGCACAACCAGCTATGGCACGATGCGATGGCGATATCTGAGGGAAACTTAAATGAAAAACAACATTTAACGACAAACTACCCCTCCCATTTCTGCAGACCAAAGCACCACAACGATTCAATCGGTCGAGCGCTGATAAACGGTAAAAAACATAATAATGTACGTAATGTTATTAAAATATATTATAATAATTGTGGTGCAACGCGCGCTATGTATGAAGACGTATGTAATAAGTATTATAAACCTCTTGCTATAAAATATAAACTATTATAATAATATTGTAGTTGCACAACGATCGAACAGATCGTGTAAAGTGTCTTTTAAATATTATTCATTCGACGCATCAGCGAATTATATTGCCTCGGACTTGGGCAGAGAAAGAGTAAGAGATACAAAACCATAAATTAACCGCGTTGTCGAACGGGTGAGTCTCATATTATTATTATTATTATCTATGATCGTTAAACATTTTGCGCCGTGCCTCATTCGTGTAAGCGCGTTATTAATTGTTCGCGGATTGTGAAATATTCCCTCCGTAATACAATAATAATATTAGTATTATTATTTTAACATCGAACGATCTAATAGGCTCGTGATGTTCGATCAATGTGAAGTCTATGTGTGTGTATGTATGTGTATGTGTGTGTGTGTGTGTGTGTGTGTGTGTGTGTGTGTGTGTGTGTGTGATGAATGCGCTTTTAACTCTTCTTCTTCTTCTTCTTCGATTTCAAATTAAAAAAAGAAAACAACCGTGAACGACAACGTGTTACCTTGTCGTTTTAATAGTTCATCGTGACGGATATCATTATAATTTATATCTAACGTGACACATTATGGATAAAACTAAAAGTATAATACACACACGACAAACGCATTTGTCCGCGAACGCAACAATAATATTATGCGCACAATATGACGGTGATGGGATTTCGATTAGTTCTATCGTGCCCGCGTAATGTGTCGCGCGTTATATTTCGCAGCCACCCGGACGATACATTCGTTCGTTACAAAATTTTTTTTTTTTAATTAAACGGTTGACGCGCAATTTTTTTATGACCCTATTTGTGCAAAAAAATATGCTGTCATACGTGCCGCATAAAACTTTGGTGACGTGATTATACACGGGCATGCGGTTATTATTATTATTATATTCTTAAATCACCGCCGCAGCACCAGCGGTGATGGTGTTTGGTGGGTCGTGGGTATTCGTGATAATTGCTACTTTTTATTTTATTTTTTAACATTTTGAACCAGGATTTGTGGGACCTTAATAGTAAATACCTATATTATGTAAAAATAGAACTAAAATAATACTATATACCTAGGTCTTTTATTGTAAACATTTTAAAAACCAAAATTTCAAACAGAATCAATCAAATTAAATGACGGATAGCTGGAGGCGTCCTTAAACCGGAACCAGAACCGAAATTAATTAATTAACTATAAAAAATACCATACTACGTTTTTAGCGATTTTAAAATTTGTATTTTATTTTTTCCCCTATGTACAGTTCTAACTTATTGATGACCTAACTTACAGATATAGCCTGCAGTATTATTGAGTATTATTACTTACGATAAAAAATAAAATGGCGTTATATTAAAAATATCAGTAAGAAGGTATGTGTCTGAGTTGCATATTACAATTATATATTTTATAAGTTGAGACATCGACTTCGAGGCGAAGGGTTAAATAAGAATCGTTCGTCGTCGACCGCGATTCGTTTGACTCACGCGAAACTGTGTATTTCCATCGGAAATTCGGTTATAATAATATAACGCGTAATAATAATGGGTAACCTACCTAATATCATGTATAATTACACGGTTTTGGTCATCGACATAATGGATTTCTCATCCCGGCCAGATTGATTCACACACGATATTATATTATATTGCACCGAACGGGTAAGGTCAGCTGTTCGTCGCTGTGGCAGCCTATATAAACGTAAATTAATTAAACTTTGGCGAATGTATTATACATAATATAGTGTGCGGGTATTATAACGTTGCGGTGTACAAAACGGTCGATACACGACGCTGTCCGAGACGGATATCGAATGGTAATATTGGTCGTGCGGGGTTATCGATGTAATGCGTATACGTATAATATACATTTTATAATAGCGCACGGTCGATTTTGAGTCGAGTTAATAATATTGTAGGTGCCCATATTATATCTACCCACAGCGGTCTTTTATTACTTTATTATTAATTATTAAATTAGTATTATTATATGGTATATGTATAAATCGTAATTGAACAAAATACGATAATATTACCTTGCATCCTTCACACGTAAACGCTCCGAAATGAAAACCGGCGGCTGGTTCTCCGCACACACGACATAGCTGACTCATCTGCAAACATGATAAATTCGATTGAAAATGTGTACAACCGCCGACGATTCAATAAATATGCGCATTGTTATTACAGTATAACATGTGCATACGATATACTTATTAAATAAAACTATATTACATAATAATATGTTATTAGGCACGTGTAGAGCTTATAATAATTTCCGCGTTCAGCGACGATGTCAACGCATATGCCATATACATACATAATGCTACAGAATTTCAGTACCAAATATATTTTATATAATTATAAATTTATAAATATATACGGCAATACGCTACGCCATCGTTTGTGTTCATTGTACATTATTTCTACTGATTCGAAAAACCCGATGAGAATGAGAGATCAAAAACGCGATACGTATTTTTATACTATCGCGCGTTTAATTCGTGTTTTATTAAATTAAATAAAAAAAAATAAACGTCTCGAACGATTATTTGCATACGTTATTAATGTGTTTTTCAATTGCGAAATTATAGAATCTCCGCATCCTTAAAATTATCCAAGTCAGTTTTCGTATATAATTAATAGTTATATACCATTATTTATGACGCTAAACTGTTACAAAAACTCATCCGCGAGATTTTATATTTTATTATCACGAAGATAATGTAACCTCCGTTCGAAAACTCGATTAAAATAAAAACAAGACCTAACCCATCACAAACTTTAATGGTCCTGCAAACGTTTGTTTAAGCCAGGTATTTATGTATATTATTGATCTTCTTCTTCTTCTTCATTTTTATTGAATACTTGGCGTTTATTATATACCTATACACCTTATCTACTTGTGCAATGTCTAAAATCCCATTAATTTGCATAATAATGAATAAAAATAAAATAAAAATGACACACATACGACGCGTTCGTTCTATCTGAAAGTTTGATGCCAACCCGACCACCTTCCCGTGATCCCGGTACACCGGCCGGGCCCCCTCCGCGTGTCATTTGTTGCGAAGATGAAAATCTCCGGATAATAACTACCGTATTTATTTTAAATGGTTATGATTCAAGTTACACATACTCACACACCTATAAAATAATGCCGATGCTGGTTTCGATGGGCAGTATTGATAAGGTGAGGTGAATCTGCCACAGATTATTATTATTATTATTATTATTAATATCATTAAACATATACATACGCGAACGTATCCTTTTATATATATGTGTGTGTGTGTGTGTGTGTGTGTGTAATTTATTGGATATGAACATGATCTGCTGCAGCGGACCACTCCTTCACCCGTACACAGCGACTTTCGAGATTCACCGATCTTCTCCGATCGCCATCGTATATATTTGTATTGCCATCGGAGACACATAAAACCTACTTTTATTTTTATATTATTATATTCCTATACATACGGTTCATTAAAAATAAAATAGCAGTATAACAATATCGTTGAAATTCTATTGCACAAGTATAGTTATTTATATATACGTAATACATATATTTATAAATATTGTATGGCTAGATAGGTATGTATAGGCAGGTACCGTATGGAGATTTTGATCGTATTGACCCTTGACATATTACTTTATTTTTTATTTTATTTTATTAGAGAGTTAACCTATGCCAACCCGTGCGGTCAAGTCTACTGGTCCATTGTATAGTATCGTGTATGATGTAAACATCCCATAACACTAAATATTAAATTGTCATATATGTGTGTATATATACGTTTAACTTTGTACGTGTATAAAAATAAAAAGCACCGACTCACGGGCCTAATAATGCTGATGGCTTGGCGTGCGTACCTTATTTTAATTTTTTTATTGACGTCATTAATCTTGTAAGCCACTTACATGTATATGCATTCGTTACTTCTTCTTATAAGTATATGTATTATTAACCCGATTGGGATCCCGCCATCCGAGTGTTTAATACTTAACCCCTATATTGTTAACAGAACCGACATCAATATCGACAAATTTTATAGAACAATATAAACTTGAAATGATATCTTTGAGTATGATAATAATAAATAGCAAATTGTTGTTTGTTGTCAATCTAGTAAACAATGACATACGCTTTATGGTTTAAAAAATCAATATAATTGGTTTACATGTTAGCGTAGGTATATGAATAAAATAATTTAATATTTATAATAGAGAATTTATAAAATGTGTTCAATTCGATCCTCAGCGTTCGTATTATAAGTAATTCAAAAAATATGTTTGTAATAAATTTTACTTTGTTACATACACGATATAAAAATGCTGCGTCTCGTAAAATGTTTTATAAAATTTAAAGACACGATTTCAATGTATAAAATCAGAGTATCTATATAATAAACTTTTCAGACTACTATATGAAGTACAAAGGTTAAAAGCATAGTATTATTATTTGTATTATATAAACTACATTAAATCACTAAGCAAGAGTAAAACGATTAAGAAAAATAAGAAGATGTCGGCGCAATATTTATTTTTCTAATTCACGCACATCATTAACACATTTTCGTTCAGAAGAATCAATCTAATATTGTTAGCTTTAAAATTTAAGTGAATTGACCTATTATCAAATTTAAAGTTGAGAACCTTATTTTTATTATCTTTTATAATATTTCAATTTTGTATACAAGTCATGGATGTGTTAAGTGTTACAATTTAAAAATGCTCATATCTTTTTAATAAATATAATTAATATTAAATATCATTAGGCCAATCTTAAACCACAAATAATGTTCTTAACTTTAAGTTTGATAATAGGTAAATTCACTTTAATATCAAAGCAACAACACGATATTGATTCTGTTGTACCCAAATTGTCTTATGTGTTGTGTACGAGTCAAAGAAATAAAACCATGGTGCGTTGACCACCATGGCCGGATTAAGCACGGAGCCTAGGAGCCCGGGCTCCAGGCCCTAAAATATTGAAACCAAATTCAAAATATTTTATTTTAAGTTCAAATTTTATTTTGGTTACACATTTTTTTAATTTTCGTAATTGCATTGTATTATTTTTATTACGTCATGTACTGAATGCCATCCGCAAACGGACGGAGCGATAATATCGGATTGAAATAATTGTTTGCATTCGATGCATCAACTAGAATATTACGTTACTTATCTTATTTTCGACAATATTTTGTTATTAGTAGATTTGGTTTTGATTTATATATAGTCAATCTAGATTGTTTTTGCTAGAAACATACGAACGTCTGTCGTCGACCATCATTTGGTTTTCACGATTTAATCCCAACAGTTGACTTATTTAGTGATTATACTGATTACAAAATGATATCTCAAAAATATGCTAGTGGAGCCGCTAAACGAAAGCTTAAAAAAGAGAAAGAAGAAAGTATGAAAATATTGCTAAATAACGTAAGGCTATTGGCTATTTAAAAAATTATTACTATCCCGTGTATCCTATGTGTAAGAAATATTATAAAAATTAATCTGACCTAATATCAAGACCTAATGATTTTAAGCTTTTTTAAATTCACATTCATCCCAATAACTTCAGTTAATTGTGAACGATCATTTTCGATATGCAAGCATTTATTAACAGATAAACAGATTTATTAATACAGACGAAATTATTGTGGAGTTTCAAAAAAAGAAGAGAAAATAAGATAGTAAAGTTAGTTTTAAAATAAAATATAATATAATATACTTTAATTTTTATGTTTTTATATTTTATATTTATATTTTGACATTTAATGAATAATATTGTATAATAGCATGTACTTAATGAAAATTATTGACAAATATTAAAAAAAATTAAAGATATTTGTGTGCAATTTACATTGTATCATTTTTTTAAATAAATAAAATTCAGCTATTGGTAATAAATATTGTAAGGACTAAGGGCCCTTTGGAATACTAGGCTCCAGGCCGGGTAAACTCTTAATCCGGTTCTGTTGACCACACTCTTTACTTACTTCTTTAGGACGATCCACACACAAAAATAAATCATAATATTCCAGTCTATCAATAATAAAATATGATATGTCATCTCGGGATACGATATTTCGCTTTTTTATGTTTATCGGATCGTCTTTTGTCACTAAACAGGTGTTCTATCGTGCAATCCTCGCAAATCGTATTAGCTGCTCACCAAGAACCGTAGGAATTTCAAAGAAGACTCAAACAGCAACTGCCCGGATATACTAATTGTAAACGAATTTATCGCGGCGACGTTGTCTGGGCTGGACGTAAAGGATACCTGTCCATGGATACGCGTTATAATGGCGACACGATCGTACGAAAAAAATAAATTAACTATCGTTGTTGTCACCATTTTATTTTTATGATATTATTATTATTATTATTATTATTATTATTATATCGTCTCGTTCGTGTTCTGACCGGACAGCGTCGTGTACCTCTATATATACACAACAACTATAGCTACAGCGGCGTAGGTACTTGTATTATGATAATCAGCTACCCGTCTTTGATATCGTTGCCGGCCGGTGTCTGCTCTCTTGTATATTATAATATTATTATATATAAATACGCGTGCGTGTGTAAGTGTACGCGAACCATTTGTAAATCCATTATTGGATTATGTAAATGCCCTCTTGTTATGACTCTATTTGTATGATACCATAATACGGTCGGAGGCGGCGGCGGCGGTTGGGGATTTTATATATATATAATATGTTTATTATAATACGCGAGCGGCTGTGGTCGTGTTCCGGTTGGATCTTCGGGCACCAATATACATACACATGTAATATGTATATATATATATATATATATATAGATATTATATTAGGTAGGCATGTAACCGTGTAGTTACTATTAAAGGTATACAGGCATACAGCGCAGCTCGTCGTACGTCCTTATTATTTATGCCGAGTTGAACTTTGGCCTCGTTTCTTATTACTGTACATTTTTTTTTCATTTATCATTTAAATTATTATTATATTTTTTTTCCGTGTACCGTCCGTCGCGCGTCTACGTACTCATCTATATCATACTTTATGTAATAGACTATATTTATATATATATATCGTTGTTGTTGTTGTTTTTTTTTTTTTTAATAGATATTTAGACATTAAAATCTTGCTGACGGGTTAATGCAGGAGAAAAAATCTCGTCCGACGAAAAATCACACACTTGATATATTTTATATTATTATTCTATATATTTTTATACAGCGAAACACAGTCGGGTCGGTTTTAGTCGTTGTCGTGTCATCGTTTCGTTCGTTCATACGAAACAGTTACGCATTTCAAACAAATCGTAACGATTTCGTTCGGATATAATTTGACGACTACAAACGAACGTTTTCTTCGGCGGCAGCGGCAGCGGTTTTCTTTGTACCCGCGCATACGATTATAATAATTAGTTTCACAAAAAGAAAAAAACGAATAAATAGAGATAAAACGAAATTGTTATTCTAAAACAAATACGAATGCGGTCGGTTATTATATTGCTGCACAAAACGTACATAATATACAAATACACGAACATAGATGAGCACGCGCGCGTACGGATTTAAATGCGTGGTTTTGAAATATAAATAAATAAAATAAATATTCACGGCGTCTTTGCGTTTTTGTGATTCACGTCAGACTTTCACCTAAAATCGTACTAATGGATTTCTGACATCGGGTAATTATTTCCACAATTCGTCTTAATAACAAACTGATTTTGCGGGTCGGCGACGACGTCGACGATGATGGTGACGTTTATAGCGGAGGTGAATCCGTAAAAAAAATACTCATTTCGCATAACCCGTCGACGTTTACAACACGAAATTTTGACAGCATCCGAAATGGCCGGCCTTACGATCATATTTTTCCGTGTACACATCATAATCGTTAAATCGTATGAAAACGTTCGTTATTATACGTATAGGTACAAATGGTACAATCATAATGTCTCTTTGCTACTTTCGAACAAACATGTTTTCGTGTAATGAAAAAATACGTTTGAGTTTTAATTGTTTTATAGTTTTATATTACTACATTGTAGTATATTATACACGTTCTTTCAACGAATATTGCAAACAAAGTTTTTTCAAATTTTCAATCGTTAAATAATAAGTTTTTAAGCTAATACGCGTAAAGATATAAGTACGCACGTTTTTTTTTTTTTTAAATTTATTTCACTGACTGATTTATTTAATTTATTATAATCAACATGTTACCATTAAAAATTCGAATGTAGATATTATTATATGTTATTATAGTGTATATATATATATATATATTCTTATTTTATATTTGTTTTAAAAGTATGATAAATTATAATTATAATACTATTATTTTTTTAATTAAATGTACATATATATTTTATTAATAACTATAAACTTTAGCGTTTTTATAAATATAACACATCATAATATATTGTCTTAGACTCTATTAGTATACAGTCATAACTCATAACAAAATGTATTTAAAAAAAAAAAACCATTGTTTTCGATTCAAAAGAATAAATATATTAGTATTTTTTTCTTTTTATGTATTATAATGAGCAAAGATGTGAAAACTCAATAATTTGTACTCAATGAAAAAACTTTTAAATTATTATTAATTTCTGGAAAATTAAAATAAAATGATAAAGAATATTTTATAAAAAGTTTAAGTTTTAAGTTTGAAACCATTTGTTAAAAGTAAGGTAAGAATATTCCAAGAATATAACATATACTTATATATTCAAATGGTTACATACAGTTTGAATTATTCAAAGAAAATAAGTTAATAATGATGCTAATTGAAACATTTTAAGCCAATATTAATGTATATATTACACTACATACATTTTTTTTTCTAATCATTACTTTTTATAGAAAAAAATAATATTTACAATTATTGGTACATAAAATTAAAATAGAATAAGTAAATGGGTTAATGAGATAATGAGTAGGGAAACTGTTTTGCGATACTTTAACAAATTTAAAAATATTATTTTTTTTTATATTAAAACTTAAACTTAAAAAAATACTAAAATTCGAATTAGTTTATTAAATATTATTGATATTTGTATAATATAAGATAAAATTATCGTCCTAAAAATTCAAAAATAATTAAACTATTGCAGTAGTATACTTTTCATGCTTTCATGACTAATAAAAATAACAATTAAATATTATGGTAATACCAAGTATTCCAATTATTTTAAACTAGGGACTTAGTTTTTATTTTTTATTTAAATAGTAAACATAATAATTTATAAATTAAACCTTACAGTATGACTAAAATAATTTTAAGAGTTATTAAGGTATTTTATGAAATTTTAAACAAAAAAAAATCCAAAATACCTAAATACCTACATATAATATATTGATTTTATGTTTACTTATGATATAAAGAAAATAGATTTTCTTAAAATTATAAGAACATTTATAGCTTAATTATTATTCATAAAATCTTCTATAATTATATAATATTATATTTATATGATACGTATATTTTTTAAATATAATTTCCATAAAAATTTAGTAAGTTAGTTGTCCAATTATCATATTGTAATACTTTTTATATTATATTTTGTGATAGTATGGTTGTTAGTGCATATCATTTTTAAAATTGGTATTAAGCTGCTTACGAAAAATATTTTGATCAATAACATTGTTTATATATATATCATTGTTTGTAATATAAACCAATAGTTTTTAAATACTTTTATTAAGAAATATTGTTTATTTTACACTTATCTTAAATATTTTTGGTGGATCAAAATTGTGTTAGATAAATAATTTTATTTCATCATGATTAAATATTTACATATAATTTTCATGCTATTTTGCTTTAAACATTTTTGTGTAAACTATTCGTTACATTTTTGGATATTTATGCATAAATATTCAGTAAAATTGTATATAAAATATCGAACATTTGTGAAATGATGTTGACTTCACTCCAATGTATACATTTCGTAATCTATTTTATTAAAATTGTATAATAAAAAATTTCTACTATTAAATTTTTAATTATATTATATACGTTTATCAAGTTTTTATAATAAATAATATAAACAATTATGTCATTGAATATGATATAATAAGTCTCTGATTTAATTGAATGTCACGGACATGTGAACAATAAGAAATACCATTTAAAATTAAAATAATTTATGAATCTTACAGATAACTGGAATTTGTCAACCGATAATTTTTATTAACTTATTAAATAAGAAAATTATTTTCATTATAAAATATAAAAACTCGCGATTCTCGGCGCCGTTCAGCTTTGCAGGTATGCTGTGAATAAATTATTTGTGCGCACATGTGCATGCTGAGAGAAAAAAAAAAGAATAACTAATAAATAAATAAATAAATAAATAAATAAATAAACGAGAAACGCATATCAAACCACGATCGATTACACATTTGTAATACAAGTGTTTTTGTCTACCGTATATTCCACTTGTCCGACTTTTAAGTATTACATCTTCGCGACTTTTTTTTCTTCCACTTTTCACTGTTTCTCGGGTTCTTTGAAACCCGTCATTTTCTCTTTATATACAGTTGTTATTTCATTCATTCTGTCAGTCTCTATTGAATTATATTATAAAAGAAACGCTATTCATCTTCTTACTTCGTGCAAACCCGATTGGCCTTAAGCCAAAGACGTTTAAGCCTACTGATTCCCAATACTGTGTGTAAATTCGTCTTTCCTGAATTTTTTTTTTTTATTATTTGCCATTCTTCTTTATATTTATCACCAATAATTTAAATCGTTGAAAATCAATATTTTGTAAACTTCCGGATTAATTTATTTCATAATATACTGTGACTATGATTATTAAATTATTCCCAAAAAATTATTAGTTTCTACTCGAATTCTTACAATATTATAGTTTATATTTCTAGCTACATGTGGGCCATCGCGCACTAAACTTAGCTAAAATAATACGTATCTGTCTAGTAATTTTTTTCCAAAATATAGTTGAATTTAACAATTCAGATTATCTATGCAGTCTATCTTTGTTTATAAAAATTATACGCGAGACATTAAACAATATTATTGTGCAACCAATGTGCCATCAATATCCAACATTCACTGGCCAAAACCATCATCACTCATATTTATTTTTATTACACGGCAGTCCGCAATATTGTACGGTGGATATGCCAAGAAATCGAGTCAACGAATTTTACCAGGGTGACTTATGTATAGCACCGATGTCAGCGCTGTTATGCACGATCGCCCAGAATCGTTTCGACCGCGTATTCGGGTTTTAGAAAAACGGCCAAATGCTTGCAATCGACAATAATGCGAAAACTATGACCTAGGAATGCCTTATACCGACGACTAACGATAACGGGATCAAGTGTAATCATAGTAAAACTGTAGTATTTAGGTATAGGTACTTACGACATCCGAGGTCGATGAAGTGGTGTGACGAGCGTCGGTGGGCCACCAGTTTGGTAGAGACAATGGCCCATGGGCACCCTGACCGGGTCCAGTGTTCATGTCCGACGTTCGTCATCGGTCGTCATCGTTGGACGCGCGACGTTTGAATGCTGTGTGCTGACGGTTGCCCGTCGTCACCTGTAACCGATTGCCGGCGGATCGCGCGACCGGACCATCGCACGCCGCGAAACAGATAGTGAAACAATAAAAAAATAAAATGTACAAATCGGATGAACGGCTACGCGGGTAAACGGTATACTGATTTGGAAAACGAAAAGACAAAAACAGCGGTCGATTATACGTTATTTTAGAATATATTGTGTTCGTATAAATGTTATTACGATCTAGGTGGTGGCGCCTCCGAAACGAAACACCTATAAAGTGGTATGCTGTTATCTACTGAAATCACATAAAACGATCTCAAGTGCGGATAAAAAAAAATTGGAATTTTAAAAAGGATAAACTTTGATGCGTCCGACGTCGTCGTTTTCGTTGGCCTGATGACGGCGATGATAGTATCGCGCGTACGTTGTGGCCGCGACGGGATCGCCGGTGATAATGGGACTGAGCGCGCCGGGCACGTGTGATTGCCCGAGACGGAACCAGAACCGAACCAGACCGGTTTCGACTCCTACCTCGCGCACGCCGTGTCGTCTTCCCGCAGCCGCCGTAGTTGTCTTCTCCTTCGTCTTCTTCTTCCTCTCCGTAATCCTCCTTATCTGTCGCGACGTCTTCGCCCCGTGGTCATTGTTCTTCCGACTCATCACTCCTTCCGCAGTGCCACCTCCCTAGACGCTGCCCACCCAGGTCTTCCTCCTTCCATCACAGCTACTTCCTAAACACCGACATACCATATTCGTTCTTTCATAACCTCCTCCTCCTCCTTCTTCTTCTCCTCTTTCACCTCATCATCATCAACATCCTTCACTTCCTGCAACGTATGTTACCACTGCTATAGCCACGAACTTATAATAGCCGACTTGAGAATAATTGTTATATTTGACCTAAATGTACGCAATATGTTAGGTTAGATTAGGTCAATTTAATAAAGTTCGAGGAAAATGAACTTAATTTGAATTATACAATGAACTTTTCTATAGAATATTATTTTTTCGAAATTTCAAAAACGTAAACTAAATGCTAGTTATTACTGTTTTTTATTTTATTTTATTGTTTTATTGTATTTAATACTCGAATTTTTGATAATCAACTGTAGTAATACACCCATAATATATTTGTGTGTATTATTGAATAACATGTAAATTACTCATCATTATGTATTTTCACGGCTACTCTAGCGAATAGCAAAATTATTTATATTTATTTATAATATGTAAGCATACGAACTACAAAACAATCGGTCACTAGATTTGTCTCAAGTTTTTTTCGGCTGTAGTTATAAAATATTGGTTATTTACGTAACAATTCTAATCTTTCAATAATGTATTGTCTATTCCTTGCACATTTAGGTACATACAATTAATCATACCATTATTAATTATTATAACTTGTTACAAGTAACGTTCATGTTAGTTTAAAGTTCCCATATATCTAACATCTAGGTAAGTACATGTTCCTTAATCCTCGTATAATTGGTAGGTACTTATTAATGTCGACTTGCATCGTTTGGGAAACTTAATGTCGAAAAAATAACATAATATGTAAGCCGTTTGGAGATGATTATAACTTACGCGAATTATGACAAATAAGAATGGTGTGAAGTTTTTGTTTATCACCTGTAACTTCCGAAAGTAACGCACGCGATTACTGAAAAATTCATTTAGTGGTAAAATGTACCTACGCTACATGAAATTGGCCATACAACGGTCATTGGAAATACGAATACGGTATTTAAGTATAATATGCGTTTTACCTTATGAAAGACTTAACTTATCTAGTAACTAATAATAAAAATTATTTTAGTAACTTACTATAAAGATGTAATTTAGGACGATTGTGTAGCTGATAAAAATTTAAACTCAATATTAGCTGAAAAAAAAATTAAACTTAGGTAATCACATAAAATATTATGATAACGAAATAAACATTATCGATTTTTGTTATAAATTATCACATTATTTTTTACCATTGTCTAATAGGTATATCACATATAGTATAAATGTATATTAATTTTAAAGTTAAGCAACGGCGCTAAAAATCTTTAATTATAAATTTCTGTTGTATACATAAATCACCAATTCAGCACGACTAATAAATACCTAACAAAATAATACATACATACATACATTAAAACTAGCTCTATGTTATGGTTTATTATAAATGTAAGTATAGGATATATACCTAAAGCAATATCACATATTCATTTATAATAAACCGTATTCCAGGTGAAAAAAACGTTTACAACACACTTCAATAATTTCGTATTAAAAATAGTAGGTACTTCATACATAACATGTTTAAATAAAAGCCACATATGAATATAATATTTTCAAAATATTAATACAATTTTAACCACAGAATATAATATTATAGCATTTATATTAGGACAGTAAGTAGCAAAAATAAATTTTAATACGACATATATTATGGGATATTTACCGTGTATTATATTTTGTACTCAACATAAATGGCTAAAAAGAATTACATTTTACCGTCAAGTGAGTAAATGATTAAAAGTTTTTTTCGAGTTTTATGTTTATTCCTGCAATATTTTTAATATAATACGTACCAATATATTGCATTATTTTTTATAGAGATTATATGTCTTTTTATTTTACAACCTCACGTATAATATAATCCTTAAAACGATTACGTACCAATAATGGAAACATTGAACGGATATAATGTATGTATATGCGTGTATCTCACGACCCAGTGTATAGTCTATACGGATCTTATAAGCGGAACATTCAATAAGAATTCGCACGATTGGCCTGTCTGGGGACCTCGCGTAAATGTTATGAATGATTTTTCGCGCCACCCAAAAGAATGTTGCGGAGGTCGTGTTGAATGCGTATAGTGTATACACGCTGTACATACTTCTCCGTTAAAATATAATTTTATTACTCGCTCATGACGTTGGTACCAAACAGCACTAAATTAAAATATATACATATCGTATGAAATGAAACGGGTATTAATAAAACTATTTAAAATAAAATGTGCACTAGTCTTGTGTGTATAATGCACTTCTACAATAAAGTTTGCACAGGGTGATTCATCATGCATACTCACCCATGCATAACCCTAATTTTATTTTTTAATAATAAAATTTAATTTTAATTTTTTTTTATGTATTTATACATATTAATTATCATTTATTCAAATATTCATTTTTTAAGCCATTTATAAACTAATTTGCTCCATAATGAATACGTTATTTTTTTTAAATGAGAACAAATCTTTTTTAAGCTAATGTTTTATATAATTTTTGATGTATACAAATGAAATTCACAATAGTTTTTAAATTATTAAACTCGATATAGATCCTAAGAATAGTATTTTTTTCATTAAATATAAAATATAATATTTAATATATAGTCTAATACTAATTGCATCTACTGAGACAACCTTTACAATATTATAAGATATTAATTATTTGATATTAAAATCATCATGGCTCTTATTATAGACTGTTATTACTGGTACTTATATAATAATTGAAATTCAATAATTAATTACATCAAAATTAAAAAAAAAAAATTTACTGTAAAAATAGGAGCCAATAAATTGTCATAATTTGTATCAAATAAGAATGCAATTCAATTATATAATAAATCTAAATATGCGAAAATTTGATTTTTAAATATACTTAAAAATGTCTAAAGATCAGAATTAGAATAAATAAGGGGGAAATTGCTTGGTGAATCACCCCGTATATATTATGCATTTTTTATTGTACGTGAGTGTAGGTAAATTCTAGCTACAAGTAAAAGTAATACACGAAGAAAATTTAGAACAGTTGTTTATGCGTTATGACAACATTACCATTTTAACGACTGTACCAAAGAAATGTGGATTGATAAGAATACGAGGAAATAATTAGAGATTAGATACATACATAATATCCTTTTCGTCATCAAACTGTCCGACGTCTTGCATGTGTTTCAACATCGGTGCGTGGGGGGTTTTGAACTGGGCGAGTCAATTAAACGAATGAAAAAAATACAGGTTCATCTTGAAAGAATTCTTGACCTCTGTCTATAAAAATATAGGTGTATTTAAAAAAAAAGTGTATGCATTAAAATTACAACATTCGTTAAAATCGTCTTGCATGTATTATACAAGATGTTATTAAGAAATAAAGCGTGTTGAAAATAATATGTAAAATTTTAAAATCACGTAAATTATCATTACGCATATACGTTTTAAGCCTGCATCATCGCGCCTATTTAGTAGTTTTCAAGTTTTCATCGCATTGTGATACATAATATTTATGTTTATAATATTATATTAATAGCTGACTGAGAAAAATATGATACGATGCATTATGCAGTTTCATTAAGCAACCAAACAAACTGCACTGTATGCACCTTTACCTGAGAAGATGAGCAATACAAGAACACTGTATTTATGGTATATGTATAGGTATTATTAATTTCTCAATACGGCACTCGACCGCTTTTTATCATTTAAATTTTTGAGTGACTTATATACCAACAGGCAACAAGTATAACAACACAATGGACGTGATGTAATTAAAAAAAAAATCGTTTTGAATAAAATCAAACGACCCACATCTCTTCCGTAAAAAAAAAAAAAAAAAAACATAAATACAATCAAGTCCATCAAAACCATAATAACGACGCGCGATTGTATATATAAACGTATATACGACGACGATATAGTGAATACAGGTAGCTGTAATTGATCAAATGACGGATGAGTGGAAAATCCAAAATATATTCTGTGTAACATAAATCCCATGGCCCATAGAATATCGACAGAATTTAGCGTCATAAATCATAATATAATTATGCACTGCAATGTATGCGCTATGGTCTTGAACTCGGCGGCAAACTGCAAAGGCACACTGCGATCGCGAGCGCACGTCCGGTAGCCCGCGCTCGGTCTCGCGGTGCAACAATCGTTGTCGTCGTCGTCGCCCACGCGGTCACTCACATACTGCAATACGCGTATATACGCGGAGACGACGACCGTACTATCATTATTATCGTTATTATTATTACTATTATAATGGCGTGTCCGTCTCATTAGGACGCGCGTCGTCAGGTGTGCAGCAGGTGAGATTCGGATCTGTTGTTTTAGCCGCATTGCTGCTGCTGCTGCTGCTGTTGCTACTCCATCCCCGCGGTGGCGGCGGCGGCGGCGGACACGCGATATACATGTACACCACACGTATGTACGTATGTAAGCACGTATACACATCCAAGTATGTAAGTATATATGTCATACGACCGCGACGAAGTCTTCTGCTGTGTGTGTGTGTTTATAAATCGCAATTAACCGCACCCCTCCGAACAAATACGCTTCTTTGGCGTCGTCGACCGGTCTCTTAGGCACGGCGGCGGCGGTGAAGAAGGGAATCAATAATTAAACTTGCGAGCTGATTTACGTATATTATTATAATACACGAGTGTGTGTGTGTGCGTGTGTGTGTGTGTATGTGTGTATATGTGTATATTGCGATATAATATATATTCGCACGGCAGATAATCATCAGTCGGATAGGATTCCGTTTTCTTTCTCTCCCACTCTCTCTCTCTTTTAAATAATGCAAACGACCCGCAGCGCTGTAATAGTGATACGATGAGCGTGTGGAAAGAGCTGCAGAGCGGTGGCTATAATGTGGTGACGCGGCGACGGATACGCGCGAGAGCGCCGACGAGCGCTCGCGAACACTCGCCGGGCAAGGGCGACGCGGTTATAATTAACGATATTCACACGTGGTCAAGCTTACGGTGAGAAGAGGTATTTTTCACGTTTTTTTTTTTTTTTTATACTTTTTTATTCATTCTCCGTGCGTTCTCTGCACCGATGCCAACGTACATTAAAATAATATA